TATATACAGGAAGCAGACCACATCCCAAAGGCAGCTACTCAGCTGCTTGTGGTAGATCCCACCATGGACTTGATTGCCAGTCTCATTGTGGGGAATAACTACCACCAGCTGCCCAGCCACTCAGCCAGCCCAGCCAAGTTGACCCACAAACATAACCACCACAGGGGTGTTTGTGCTCCCTGGTGAACACAATGAATAACCATGGTTGACACCCACTGGCTTAGACAACATGTCAGTCTGTTCTCACCACACCATGTGTCCCTTAAAGAGCTTTAAAACATCTCCTGTAATGCCCAGCCTTCACCCCTGAGATTCTGATCTGACTGGTCTATACTGGGACCCCTGGCATCTCTGATTTCAGAATGCCCCAGACAATTCTAATCCTGAGCCCTGAGATCCTGCCCTAAGGACACACCTGACCCTGGGCCCCGAGGTCCCATCCTGTCTAAGGACACACCTGACCCTGGGCCCCGAGGTCCCATCCTGTCTAAGGACATACCCGACCCTGGGCCCCGAGGTCCCATCCTGTCTAAGGACATACCCGACCCTGGGCCCTGAGATCCCATCCTGTCTAAGGACATACCCGACCCTGAGCCCCAAGCTCCCATCCTGTCTAATGACGTAGCTGACCCTGAGCCCTGAGATCCCATCCTGTCTAAGGACATACCTGACCCTGGGCCCCGAGCTCCCATCCTGTTTAATGATGTAGCTGACCCTGAGCCCTGAGATCCCCCGTTCCCACCAGGCCCCTCTGAGTTGGATCTCCATTTGCTAAGGCTGCTGATGCACGTTAATGCTCATGGAAGTAGAAAGACTTTGCCCCCCTTTTGTTATCAGATAATAGATGCAAAAAAAACCCTAAAACCCAGCCTCCTGCAGGGACTCTGCTGACTATTAGCCGTAACTTCTGAGGAGGACAGTGACGGAGCCCAAACGACCATGCAGCTTGACCGCAGGACCTTCCAGCCAAACACCCAGGTGTGGTGGAGTGGATGCGACCTTCCGCCAA